AGTGTAAAGCGCTTTGGGGTCCGGAGGGACTTGAAAAAGCGCTCTATAAGTTCAGTACCATTTACCATTTAACATGATGTGGGATGTCAGGGCAACAGGTCTATAGTCATTGAGGGCTGATGGGTGAGTTTTCTTTGGAACTGGAACCAGACAGGATGTCTTCCACAACACTGGCACCTTCTCCTGGGTCAAGCTAAGGTTGAAGAGGTGTTGCAGAATCCCACAGAGCTGGTCAGCACAGGCCTTCAGGACTCTGGGGCTGACACCATCTGGACCTGCAGCCCTGTTCTGGTTCAGTCTCTCTAGCTGCCTCTTCACCTGACTTCTAGGTACAGAAAAGTGGGAGGGGGAGGGAAAGGAAGCAGCAGCATCTCCTGATTTAGTTGAAGACAAACTTGTGGATGTAGAAGAAAAGTCCATGACTGAGGTTGAAGATAAAACATCTGAGGTTTGACAGGAAAGCCGTGGGTCAAAGGAGGGTGAGATGTCTGTTTGGCTGGGGGCAGGAGAGGAGGAAGATGAGCTTGTTCCTGAGCTGAACCTGTTGAAGAATGTGTTCAGCTCATTTGCTCTGTCCAGACTTCCATCCATCCGATTCTCCTTTTGCTTGAAACCTGTGATCTTCTTCATCCCTGACCACACATCTCTGATATTGTTCCTTTTCAGTTTACTCTCCAGCTTCCTTCTACAAACCTCCTTGCTGTCTCTGATCTTGACTTTGAGCTGCTTCTGCATACTCCTCAATAACTCCCTGTCTCTATCCCTAAAGGCTCTTTTTTCTTATTTTTAAAAGTTCCTTTAGCTCACTGGTGATCCAGGGTTTGTTATTAGGGAAGCATCTCACTGTTCTTCTAGGGATGGTGTTGTCCACACAGAAGTTTATATAGTCAGTCACACACTCAGTCATGGCATTTATGTCATCTCCATGTGGCTGGCAAAGAACAATCCAATCTGTAGCTTCAAAACATCCCTGTAGGGCTTCTTCAGCTTCCTGTGACCACTTTCTCACAGTCCTTGTAGTTACAGGTTGTCTCTGAACAAGTGGTTTGAGTTCTGAGCAGAGATAAACAAGGTTGTGATCTTAATTATCAAGAGGAGGTCTTGCATTGACGATATAAGAATCCTTAACATTTGTGTAAAACAAATCCAATGTCTTGTTTTCTCTGGTAGAGCAGCTGACAAACTGTTGAAACATTGGCAGTGTAGCAGAGAGTGAGGCATGATTAAAATCACCAGATATTGCCACAGATGCATTGGGGTGTTGTGTCTGTATCTTAGCAACAACGGAACTGACGATATCACATGCATTGTCAGCAACAGCTGAGGGTAGAATGTAAACAGCTGCCAAAATAACACTGGTGAACTCTCTTGGTAAATAATATGGATGAAAACTCACTGCCAGGAGTTCAATATCTGGACTGCAGTGACAACTTCACAGTAACATGTCCTGGATGACACCATCTGTTGTTGACAAGCACCGCTAATCCACCTCCTTTCTTTTTCCCGCTGCTCTTTAAATCTCTGTCTGCTCGTATAGTCTGAAAGCCTGGCAGAGAGATGTTGGCATCAGGGACATGATCCTGCAGCCATGTCTCAGTGAAACACACAATACTGCATTCCCTATACTCTTGCTGAGTCCTTGTCAGGGCTTGAAGTTCATCCAGTTTGTTGGCTAACGATCTCATGTTGCCCATTAGGATTGATGGAAGTGATGGTTTGAACTTCCTCCTTCTCTCTCGCCTCTTTGCTCSARCTCTGCATCCACGATGCCTCCTTTTCAACTCCTCTGGGATTTGCGGCTTCAGTTGATGTATTTCAGATTTTGCAATAATAATCAGCTGCTCCCTGTTGTAAACCACCCTGTTGCTATGGTTACGCATCATAACAAAAAGCAAAGTATAAAAAAAGTATTTGCAAAAACCAATCCAGCTGCACAGCACCCAAAACACAAATGAACAGCCGTCCAAAAAAGTTACTTTTTCCACAGAAAAGCAGGAATGAACACCTGAAAAGAAAATCTCAACAAAAGTAAAAGAGCTACTCCAACGTGCTGCCACCCTCAGCAGCGCAATTCTGGAACTTGTATGTGTGTATGTATGTATGTATGTATGTATGTTTGTGTGTATGTATATACAGCGGGTAAAATAAGTATTGA